AAGAGGAGCCAGAGTGATCCTGGCCTGTCGCAGCAAGCAGAGAGGAGAAGCTGCTCTGCAGGACGTCAAGAGGGTGAGAGTCTGCTGGTCATGTCTTTGTTTCTCAGGAAAGCTAGGAAGAAAAGCAGCATGAAGGTGAACAATGAGGCAGGATTAGACTGAAAATAGAGGGAGAGTGACTTTAGTAAAGGTTGTCAAGTGAAAGAATTAACACCCTATGACAGCTTGTGTGTTTTCCAACATATTTTGAGACGTAGATATGTTAACAAAACCAAAAAAATTCTAATAATCAGAAAACGGCAAAATATGCAATTCCTCTGGGGAGAACAAAAGTACTATCTTGAGAAGAATTGGATTCATCAATATATTCCAATTAATGTGTGCAGCTTAGTGATACAAATTGCACCTCATAAAAGTAACCAGCATCCTCAAGGAGCCCATTGCAAACAGAAATGTTTTCAAGGCTTATGAATCCTGTGCCAGGGAGTCACAGCCATGCAAAAAATAAGTTATAGTTTATCATAATTTTTATCTTTATCACAATAGTACCACAAAAGATGTCCACCTCTATAGGACATTGAAATATTATTCCCACTTAAAACCTGTAAACTTGGACACAGGCATAGTGAATCATTTGACATGGTCAGATCACTTGTTTTGAAGGAGGTTTCCTCTCAGAAAGCTCAGATATTTAACTTATGCAGTTGTTGTTTTAGTATGTAGCAATAGCAGAGATACTGGAAATCACCAAAGAAAAAGAGCTTATGGGAGATTATTACACTTAATAATGTTAATTACATTTATAATGATCACTTGCTGAGAAACAGGTCCATGGGGTGACAGGGCGCCAGAATAGGGTTTTCTTGAAACTATGTAAACTTCTATAGAAAAAATGGAATTAGTATTTCCGGTGCAAAATTAAATATGGTTACTTCTTCCTATTTCAACCTCAACTGAAGGTCATTTTGACTGCAGGCAAATCTGCACTGTTCCAATGTGATTTTTCCAGGAGCTGCAAAAGTAGTCTCATATTACAGTGAGTCAGATTGTGTGCTTATTTCATTGCCTATAGTTTAATAGCAGTCCCATCAGTGTTCAATGTCTGTTTCAGGAGAGTGGCAGTAATCAGGTGGTGTTCATGCAGCTGGATCTGGCTAGTCTTAAGTCGGTCCGCAGCTTTGCAGAGAACTTCCTGAAGACAGAACCCAGACTGGACATCCTGATCAACAATGCAGGTAGGAGTTCTCGCCTCAGTCTCAATGATATGCTGGATACGCGACTCGTCGACAGAAACCCCCATGAAGACAGAGTATATTTAAAAAGTCATTTCATCCTACGGAGTCTAAAGGCTTCGACATAACTTAATGACTTAGAAATAATATCGCTATCTGAGCGCATTTCCACTTAAAACACTGCAACTATCTTCAGACCAATCACACAAAACATTGCACAGAGCTCTGTCGAAAATAATTCGAACCAGTCTGGAGTCGAGTTTTGGCAGGTCGATGGTGTTCTGAACAAAATGACGCAGTTTTCATCACACCTCTACATCAATGAGAGCCAGTTTCGGCACTTTGCACTCTGTCGGGGCCTTAAACACTGTCAACTTTCACCCATACCTTGGGTGACAAGGATTGTCTGTGTTTCGTTCTAGGTCTGTTCATATTTGGTCGAACCGAGGACGGGTTCGGGATGACGTTTGGTGTCAACCATCTCGGTCATTTCCTGCTGACTAACCTGTTGCTGGACCGACTGAAGGAGTGCGGACCGAGCAGAGTAGTGAATGTGTCATCTGGAGCGCACAATTGGGGAACAGTAGATTTTGACTGCCTGAACACCCACAAAGATCTAAGGATTGGGACGTCGTTTGTGGCTGGCCAAAGAGTTTATGCAGACAGTAAGCTGTGCAACGTTCTCTTCACCTACGAACTTGCCAAGAGACTGAAGGGAACCAAGGTCACTTGCTACTCCCTCCATCCAGGTAAGCTACATAGTTGTGGTTTCTTGTTTAATCCACTGACAAGCACAAGTATTTGACAAAGACTAATGAAAATGTACGAACAAGAAAGTGAGTGGCAAGGTACATCACTCAAAAGTTCAGTGAATTTAAAGACTTTTATTGATCACTTTGATCCTGTGGCCCTTCAGGTCTTGAGGTTAACCTGATGCAAACAACTTTGGAAATGGAAAACATACATGTCATGTTTGTTCAAACCTGATCCGGCTGTCCCTAACAGGAATTGTAATGTTTGTATTTCTCCTTTCGCCTTGTAGATATGGATTCTATTGTTTTTGCAGTTTTCTTTGTTTATTGTGTGGTCTGACCCCAAGTTCTGCTGTTTCTCTTTGGGAACATTGTCTATTCCCTTCATTATTTTTTCATTTGTGAGCAGTTCTCTGAAAAATAAAGGGTTCGAAATCATAGAAGCTACTCTGCAATGTTGCAGACATAAAAAATACACAGTCTTCTCATAGAACGCATATAAACAAATGTTCCAAATACGTAATTTTTTTTTTTTTAGATTAATTAGATTACCCCATGTTTAAACAGAAATAAAATGGCCACCCACTGAAACAATATTGTTGACATTTCTTGGTAAACTTATAAAATAAGTGGCTGTGAGTTTTCATTGTAATCATTTTGCAGAGGTCGTTGGCCCCAGGATGATATTCAGACAAAGAACGAGTCTTTTCTACTAGCACCTTGACTTGACTATGCATGGCTAAAACTGTTTTCCACTAGCTTATTTAATTTTGTGCTGCAAGGAAAACATTTTTTTTTTATCTTCTTGCAGGAGTCATCAAGACTGACATCATCAGGAACACGAGCCCGATTTTTCAACTAATCGCATTGAACGTTTTAAGATTTTTCATGAAGACCCCTCTCCAGGGAAGCCAGACCACGCTGCACTGTGCCCTGCAGGAGGGCATCGAACACCTCAGCGGGCGCCACTTCTCCAACTGCACCGCCAGAGAAGTACTGGCCAAGGCCAAGGATCCGGTGACTGCAAAGAAGCTGTGGGAGATCAGCGAGAGATTCTGTGACCTCTGAAGAGTGTTTTACTAAAGTAGTTTGTTTTAAATAAGAGCCACTCGTGATGTTAACTTCAATCTGTTTGTAAAAATTGAAACCGAGACCAAAGTTGACACTTTCATGTGACTTTTCTTTAACTTTCCAGATATTGTAAAAAGAGGAAGGGAATTGACTTGATTTAGATATTACATAACTCATGATCCACATGTGGAATTTTAACTAGAGTGTAAATAAATGACATTTCTGACATCATAATCCAGCGACTCTATAGTCTTTTGGCTATATAGCCTTTATATGGGCAGCTAATGGGATCATCCATTGATGTTTGACTGGCTTATTAGAAGCCATTGTACTAAAAGACATTATATATTTTCAGCTTTTACCAATGGGAATGTTTCTGAAGATTAGTTCCTTTGGAAACTCGAAAAGCTAATGGCACAAAGCTTTGATTCTACATTTCTCCATTTATGTTTTTTATATGCCTGATGAATAATATGTACCTGTATTAATGAGGGGCCGTCACAAAGGTTATGAAGGTGCAGGTTTAGTGGTGGAAATGTACATTACAGTTATTTCGTTATTTAAGTACATCAAGCTAAATTGTATGTAAATTTAAGAGTTACAGTTGTAAATGTAAATTATAAAGACTTGCAGTTTTTCTGGGGAAAGTTTTGACAATTTTCAAAGTTTTACCTGTTAACCCAATAAATTTAGAGCCATGAAGCCGATTTTGTCTTTTGTTTCTAATAAGAGGAGATAGTCTAAATATAACCTGTAGTTACTATAAAATGGTGATATTTCTCCAAAGTGAC